CTCTCTTCAATGGGCTTTGACCAACTCTCTATTATCCCAAGCCATGGTAGATCTGGCGGACTGATGGTAGCATGGAGAAGTAATTTAATTGATGTGGATATACTTCTTACCAACCGACAATACTTTCATCTTAGATGCTCTATACCTGACAAACCCAATTTCTTGTTGACTGCTATTTATGCGGTGCCACATTCAAATCTAAGGAAACAACTGTGGGAAGATTTATTCAATCTCTCAAACTCAATTACTATGCCTTGGGTTGTTTGCAGTGACTTCAACGACATAGCCTCTGCTACAGAAAGGATTGGAGGATCTCTAACACCTTGCAACAGAGTTCAATGGTTTAATGATCAAATCACTCGTTGCCGCCTATCTGATTTGGGATTCAAAGGCCCTCAATTTACCTGGAGGGGACCACTGTTGGCAGATTGCACAAGACTTTATGAACGGCTAGATCGTGCGCTAATCAGCTCCTCCTTCTTATCTACCTTCAGCACCGCTTTTTTAAAGGTACTGCCGAGGATCTCTTTCTCTGATCATAACCCTCTTGCTCTCTTCATAGAAGAATCTGGTAACTTTCAAAAAAATGCTAATCCATTCATATTTGAAGCTATGTGGCTCAAACATGAAAATTTTCCTACTGTTCTGAAAGAAAATTGGCTGGATGGGAGAGATATTAATCTCAATTTGAATGATTTTAAAAATTCCCTGGTGATCTGGAATAGGGAAACTTTTGGTTTCATTGAAAGGAGGAAGAAAAATATTATGGCAAGATTGGCTGGCATTCAAAATTCTTCGGCCTACCCGTACTCTTCTTTCCTTTGCAACTTAGAAATGCAACTTCAAAAGGAGCTAGATGATGTTCTGCGTTTAGAGGAAATCAAATGTTTCAAAAATCAAGATCCGTTTGGATAACTCAAGGTGATAGGAACACTAGATATTATCACCTCAAAACTAGTATGAGAAGAAAATGGAACAGAGTGATTACTTTGAAAAATGACCAAGGAATCTGGATTGACAACGAACTTGAATTGAAGAAATTAGTAATTGATTATTACAAAAACTTGTACTCCTCGGATAGCATTGGAGGTAATAATCTGTCTACCTCTACCATGTTTCCTCCTATTAATGATTCTCTACTAAGCAGCTTGAAGCATATCCCATCTAACGAGGAAATTAAGGATGCTATCTTCTCTATGGGCCCTTTCAAAGCCCCAGGCTTCGATGGATTCTCTCCCATTTTCTTCCAGAGTAACTGGCAAACCGTGGGGCCTGTTGTTTGTGCTTTTGTCAAAAGTGTCTTTGCTGGAGAAGTTTCAGTGGCTGATTCTAATAAAACTCTTATCTCTCTTATTCCAAAAAGAGATAATCCTGAACTGGTGTCACAATTCAGACCTATTTCTCTATGTTCTGTTCATTATAAATGCATAACAAAGATTATCACTTTCAGGCTGAGAGCTCTTATGAATGAAATTATTTCGCCTTTCCAAGCAAGCTTCATAAAAGGCATACATATTCAAGACAACATAATAATTGGCTAAGAAATCATGCATATCATGAAGAGAGCAAAAGGGAGAAGAGGTCTAATGGCAATGAAGATAGACCTAGAGAAGGCCTTTGATAGAATTAATTGGGCTTTTCTCCGGCAAGTTCTTATTGATATTAGACTTGAAGAAAGTTTTGTTAATTTGATTATGTCATGTGTTACTTCTGTCTCTTAAAATGTTTTGTGGAATGGCTCCCAAACTGAATATTTCCCATCCCAAAGAGGATTGAGACAGGGGGATCCCATTTCCCCACTTCTTTTTGTGTTGTGTATGGATAGACTATCCCATATCATAACTGATGCAGTGAATGATGGCTCTTGGAAACCTATCATGGTTAGTAGAAATGGCCCAGCAATATCTCATTTAATGTTTGCTGATGATCTCCTCCTCTTTGGGGAAGCTACAGAACATCAAGCTCTTTGCATGATGAATTGCTTAGATGTTTTCTCACAAGCATCTGGTGAGAAGGTCAACAAAAGTAAATCTTCCATTTTCTTCTCACCAAAGGTTGCTAATGACTTGAAAAAGAGGGTGAAATCAATTACTCATATAAAGAGCACTGAAGATATTGGAAAATATCTAGGCTTTCCTCTTACTCGAAAAAGGAGAGGAACTGAAAACTTTCAATATATTGTGGATAGGGTAAGATCTAAACTGGTAGCTTGGAAAGTTGAGAGCCTTTCAACAGCTGGACGAATTACTTTATCAAAGTCAGTAATTAGCTCTATTCCCCTTTATCCGATGTTTGTTTCTCAGATTCCTAAGAAAATCTGTCTTGAAGTTGAAAGACTCCAAAGAAACTTTATATGGGGTCAACGAGATGGAAAAGAAGTTTATCATCCTATAAGCTGGAACCAGTTAACTCTCCCCAAGGATTATGGAGGACTGGGTTTCAAACGCCTAGCTTCAGTCAATAGGGCCTGTGGTGCTAAGTTGGCCTGGAACTTGCTTCTTGGGGGTAAAGACTTATAGATGGAAGTATTGAGCAACAGATACATGTTGCAAAATGAAGAAAACCTACTCTCTGCTCAAAAAAGGGATTTGAAAGTCTGGAAATTTATTTGTCAGCAAAGAGAATTAGTTGAAGAAGGTACCAAATGGCAATTGCGGAATGGAAAACTCATAAACTTCTTCAACGACAACTGGCTTTCTGCAAAGCTGAAAATTAAAAATATGTGTCTAAGGGAGATTACAAGTGAAGAAAATGAAAGCTCAGTTGTGGATTGGACTCTAAATGGAAGTTGGGACTTCAACAGACTTGAAAAAATAATTAACAAAGATGCTCTTCAACATCTCGCCAGTCGCTTACCTCCTATTGAAGAAGCCGGAAATGATACTTTAATTTGGAATGCCACTAGTGATGGGCAATTCAGCATCAAGAGTGCCTACTTCCTACTGGAGGAAAATCCTATCTCCCTTTATAGTCCTATATATAAACGCATCTGGAAGTGGAAAGGAGCAGAAAGAATCCGAGTGTTTCTTTGGCGTGCTTTTAATGACAAACTTCCTACAAATGCCTGGAGAAGCACCTGGTCGTAGACATCTCCAATATGCGCCTATTGTAATGAGGGAACTGAAAATCTCCTGCATATCTTGAGAGATTGTGCTTATGCCAAATCCTTGTGGATAAGTATTTTAAACCATAAGTACTGGGACTCTTTCTTTAACCTTGCTCTCAAAGACTGGATTGCTGCTAATCTGTCTAATGATTTTAGCAAATTTGGGCCTGATAACTAGGAATGCTTATGGGGAGTGGCTGTTTGGAAACTATGGAGTTGGAGGAATGAAGCTATCTTTTCTGAAAATTATGAGAAACCTCATGATCCAGCAAGTGTAATCCTTAATGTATGGCAGAATTATACTTTGCAGCAAGTTCATCACCAAGCAGTGGAACAAGACCCTGTCAGCTTGAATTCGAAATGGATACCCCCTCCACTTGGATGGATCAAAATCAACGTCGATGGTGCAATGGTCAAAAACTCTTGCAAGGCCGGATGTGGAGGAGTCTTTAGAGATCATAATGGCAACTGGATAGTTGGTTTTACCTATAAGATCGAAAAATGCAATGCACAAGAGGCTGAGGAATGGGCTATCTATAAAGGCCTAAACATAGCTTGGCAATTTGGATTCAAACAGATTATGCTTGAGTCAGATGCAAAAAATGTTATAGACTTGTTACTAGAAGAAAATTCTTGCAACACCAGCAATCTGATGATCAGAGAAATTCAAAGTATGCTTAATTACAACTGGAAGGTAAAGCTGCGAAGAACTCCCAGAGAAAGTAATAGAGTTGCTGATGCGCTAGCCAAGAAAGGGTTATCTGAATCCTCCTTCTTTGATGTTTGCCCGACCATTCTAAGGGCAATTGTGGAAGCTGAGAAACTGGGAGCTAGTCCCCACTTATTCTAGTTTTTTCCTTTTGGGCTTTGGTCCTCTTTTTTACCAAAAAAAAAAAAACAAATCCAGGGAGATTAAAAGTAGGAAGAAAAATCAAGAGCTATCCATCCAGATATACTCCATCTGTCTTTTTTTTATAAAAAACAACTACTCATCCCCCTCTTGTTCCTAAATATAAGTAACATTTGTAAGTTATCATAACGAATTTCCTATTTTAGCCTATGCTAATTGTTTATTTTAATACTTCATATATATATATATATATATATTTATCATCTCTCTCCATCATACATGGTCTCTCTTTCATAATTCTATTTATTACAATAATTTTTTTGTTATTTTTCTTATACTCTCTCCCCCATAAATAAGTTATCTTGGATAAAGAACTTTTAATTTCTATATATTTATTATCTTTAATCAATTTTAACTAACTTCTTTTATCTACATGATTGAGTTCAATTTTGCTTATAAAAAGGGATGGAGACTGGAGAGAGCATAAGTTTCAAATAACTAATTTGTGTATAATAAAAAATCAAGTAAAATTATTTAAAAGCAATAAATTAATTAGAAATATGTTTTTATTTTCAAATACATCTTTATAATAAATGAGAAAAAGATAGAAGCAAATGTATCGAAAAATATGGTGAGAAAGTGTGTGGCAATAAATAATAAATAATTAAGAATAAAATTGAAAGAATAAATTAAATGCTAAAACAAATACAAATTGAATTGAAACTTATAAAATAAACTAAATCCTTCTTAAATTTAAAGTTTATAAATGTGGCGCGCGTCTCCTTTCTCCTTTACTTCAAACCAGCCCTTTCAATTAACTTCTCGCTGCTTTTACAGTGACTCTATGAAACCAAGCTTCATTTCTGCTTTAGTCACACCAAACTCATCCATCTCTTAACTTTGCCCCACACGCACGCACGCACGCACGCACACACGCGCACACACTTTTACATATATAAAGAAAGGGAGGGAGGGAGGGAGGGAGGGATCGAGTGGTTACTCAGGTAGAGAACTAAGAGAAGGGTACTTAGTGGGCAAGAGCAAATGTGGATGAGAGCTGAAGAACGACGACGTAAAACGCAGCAGCAGCAGCCTGGTGGATGGAAGGCCATTGCTTATATTCTAGGTCTCTTCCTCTCTTTCTCTTTCTCTGTATATCTCTTTCTTCTTGGGAAATTATCTTCTAAATATATATACATACAGATATATGCATGTGGGTATTGTGAAGTGTGATTAATTAATTAGAGAGAAATGAATGCAATTGGATATGTGTTTAAATTAAATGCAGGGAATGAAACGTTTGAGAGGTTGGGAGCATATGGGTTGTTTGCAAACTTTGTGGTGTATCTGACAAGAGAGTTTCATTTGGACCCTGTTTCTGCTACGACTATTATAAGTATTTGGTTTGGCCTCTCCCATTTTGGACCTCTCATTGGTGCCTTCATCTCTGATGCTTATGCTGGTCGCTTCTACACCATCGCTTTCGGTTCTTTCTTCTCTCTTCTGGTATGACTTCTCCATCTCTCTCTCTCTCTCTATCTCTCTCTGTGTGAGATACTTTTTGCCCAGTCTACATGGATTTTTACAAGTTTCTCACACCATAATTGTGTTTTCCTAATTTTCTTTCTCTGGTTTCATTAATTGGTTTATCAGTTTTTTTCTTTCTTTTGGGACTAATATCTATCAGATTTACTCTGATTTCAAATTTCAAAGGATTCATTTCCGTCACATTTCTCCTCTAATCGCATTCCTACGCAATCCACTTTTCCACTACTCAAAGATAATGCAATAGGTTTTTCCCAGTTGATAGTTTGTTCTTTTACTTGTCATCAGGCTCTATTTATAAGATAAATAAATAGTACTAGTATTTTTTTCCCCCCTTATCTATAAGTCAAATTACCAAATTTCTCACAAAATATATAATTGCATCCTTCACCAACAAAGAGTTGGTCTAGCAGTATAAAGTCCTGTTAGATCTTTTTGGGTCCTGAGAGTTCAAGTCTCAAAAGAAACACTTTTGCAGAGAAGGTAAGTCAAGAAACCCGGATTAGTCGGTTACTCAGATACCTGGTAATAAGATTAAAAAAAATACCAAATATTGAATGATAATATCAAAAAGAATTGCATATTGATGGGAACAAGCCATTACATCATATAGTAGTAGTATATCTTAAATGGAAATAAAGTTATTTAATTTTAAGAAAGAGTCTATAAAATTTTATATTTTTCTTAATTCTGATAATACTGACCTATAAAAAGAATTAAAAGAATACCATTTCTTTTCACTAACATCTATTATTAAGTATATGAAGTCCTACTTGAACTTTAAATTTAGTGTTGACCAACATTAAACATGCGCTTTTTTTTTTTTTGGGTAAGCAATGCATTAATGGTTTTTCCTTTTAATACACACTCACGCGCTCACGTTGTTTGTTATTGTTACCGTTGACCACTCTTTAAAGATATTTATGTCATTCACGTGAATAGAATCAGTGTAACTATATTAATGGCAAAAAAAATAACTTAAATTTTTTATATCTATTATCACAGGTTCTTTAATCATTTATAGTTATGTATCTTTTTTTAGTATGTATTTATAATTAAATACTATTAAATGATAATATTTTAAAAATAAAATATATGATTATATGTAATTGAAAAAAATTGATATAATGAATATAAGAAAGTTGGCATAACTATTGTCCTTTTCCAATGCCTCAAAGTTAGTGAATATTAATTCCAAAATACTGGTCCTCATTATAAATTTCAAATAAGTAATTCACAAATAATGAATAATTAATTAAAAACAATAAATAGGTTAGAAATAGACTTTTGTTTTCAAATATATCCTTATAATAAATGAAAAAAAGGATAAAAGAGAATGTGTGGAGAAATATGATAAGAGAGAATGTGTGGAGAAATAGACTTTTGTTTCCAAATATATCCTTAAGGACAATTTGCAAAAAATGCATTAAATGTTAAAACAAACCCAAATTGAAGCTTATAAAATGTACCATGTACTTTTTCAAATTTAAAGCTTATAAATAAAACCAGAGAGAGTATTTGATAAATTGATCGAACAAAATACCAAAAAAAATTTTTTGGGCAATGTAATCGAACCCTATCCTATTTGAGTTAAAAAGAGAATATTTTTCTGGTTACAAGTTATATTATTACATTTTTCAGGGGAATATACTGTTTTGTCTTCCTTTTATTATTATATATACAGTTAATTTTTTAAAAAGTGTAGATATATCAAATAGAAATAAAATTAAAAATACTAAATAGGATAGGAGTGAGTACATTGTATAGAATATATAATTTTTTTTAATGTTGGCAAAAAAAGAATCTATATGTTTTTTTAAAGAAAAATATAAACTACTTTTGGGTAATATTTAATGTATTAATTAATGTCAATAAGCTATTGATTGAGGTGATGAATAATCTCATTTCATAAATAAGAAAATACAAGTTCGCATCTTATAAAATACACTTGTTGGGTGGGACAAAAACTTTTTAATACTCTAAACCTCAAAGGAAAACTTAATCAAATCAAAATATTTAATGCATTAATTCTTTTTTCTGGCGAAAAAAAAAGCATTAATTCTTCTTCAAAATTTTTTGGCCCTTGAGTGTAATAAAAAACTGAGAAAGTTAAAAGTCAGCAGCTCACATGGGAAAATGTGTAGTCTGCCGAGAATTTAATGTATTTAATAGAGGTAACAATGGACAGCATACTACTCCCTCCGTTTTTTATTATAAGAGACGAATAACCGAATTACATTGATAAAAAAAACAGTTAAAATTAGTTAAGAATAATCAATGTGTAAAAAGTATAATTTTTTTTCTAAAAATGCCCTCATTAATAAGGAGAGAGAGCATGAGAGAGAATAATGGTAAATTATTAAAAAAGAGAGAAGTGGGAAGGACAGAGAGTGTGAGTTGGAGACAATAAATATGGGTAAAATAGGAAATCAATACAAAAAAATAGAAACAACTTTTAAGTATCTCTTATATATAAGAACATGCCATAAGCATCAAATGTCTCTTATAATAAGGAACGGAGAGAGTAATTTTTAACAAAATTTAATGAGTTATTTAATTTTTAACTTCTTTTTTATAATGGAATTAATTAATGGTATCTTTAGCTTATTTTGAATTAAAAAAGTACCACCTCCTTTGAAAATATAAGGCTTGTTTTAGTTGAGCCAATACTTTAATATAGAAGGCATTTTCACGGATTTTTAATTAAGGGAAATTAGTGTGATTTTTTCTAAAGTACTCATAAGAGAATATCAAAATTACTTAGTTCTCTTTATTCATAACGTTCATTTCTTATGCATTTAAAGAAGGATAAAAAAAACTTTAATTTTTTTTTTGATGAAGCAAAAATTTTAATATTTCAATTACCTAACTATTTCTCTTGATAAGTGTCTTTTGTATGTATTTGAAACAGAGTACTCCAATCATCCAGAACACTAATACTACTTCCAGTCTTTAATATAAGACCTTGTTTGACTTTTATTTTGATCCTAAATATAAGACCCCAAACCATTTTGTCTCTCATATTTATCTATTTTTTTCAAGTACTTTTTCTAATAATATTAGTTCTAGTCAATACATTTAATTAGTAAGGATATTTTAGAAAAGATAATACCTATTTATTACAAATAACTAACTTAACTTCTTTCTTTAGTCTTCTCAAATTAGTTAACTAGCTCTTATAATTAGGACCGAAGGTAGTATATTGTTTCTTTCGTATATATCATATTCGGAGAATGTCAAATCCAATTAAGGATATACAACCTAAAAGCGTTTTTTTATGTTTATATGGATTCAAAGTTGAGACTTCATATTTAAGTGGTGAAAATCTCTTTCACTTCACTAAGATGAACGCTTACTGGGTCAGAACTTTTTAGTCTATTATGTCCTATTTTATAGTATACATTTTTAAATCGTATGCTATTTTGTTGTAAAAAAAAAATTGTATGCTATTTTAAAATAATTTTCTAAAAATCTCCCTATCTGGTGAGTTTTCAATTTACGAACCCTTAATTTAACCCCTATTTATTTAATTGGGGGAATACTTGGAAAGATGAAAAAACCACTCTTAATGAGTTTTTGGCAACTGCTGACTATATTTAGGAAATGAGGGAGTATAAAATTAGAAAAACTTAAGAAAACATTAGACAAAAAAATGAAAATAAATAGATAAACTTATTCAGAAGTGCATAACATATGATATAAAGAAATTTATTTTAATTTCAAGTCAATCCATGGAAGAAATTTACATAACCGCTAGAGAATAATTTTTCATAACACGAAACCGTATAAATGAATCGTCTTTTTCATGAATCATGACTTATAAACAGTTTTTTTGTTGTTGTAAATTTAATAGTATTTTATATTGATAATAATGATTCCTTATCATAAATTCAAGGGAAAATTCAATAAACCTCTCACTACATAATTAATATCAGTCAACTCCTAAAAAAATTTAAAAAGATAAAAATACCTTTGCTTTATTTTGTGGCTGTGAATTCCCTTAAGTTCTTGCAAATTGCTAAATATAAGTTATAAATCACCAAATTGTGGTTGCGAATCATTGAATTTTAGTTGCTCATTTACACTAAAATATATTGCATATGGGAATTATGAATCTCCTTATGTTTCTTATGAATAACTGAATTTGAGTTGCCAGTAACCAAATCTGAGTTGTTCATTCACCCCAAAACATACAATTGCATTTGACAGTTGTGAGTTTCATTGTTTTTCTTGTAAATCACCAAATTGAGTTGTTCATTCACCCATAAAATTTACAAGAATTGACAACTCAAATCCAATGATTGACAACCCAAATTCAGTTATCTACAAAGATATTTTTTAAAAAAACTAAGGATATTTTTTGCCTTTTCACCCATAAAACTGTGGTCCTTTGGGGTGCAGTAATATTTCAGAATTTTTTGGAGTTGACCGATATCGATGATCTTTAGTAGGGTTGAATGAAATTTTTTCTAAATTCAATGGCACCAAACGCCCTCTCTGAATTTTTCTCAAATGCGAGGCTATGAGTTCACACTTAATGGTTCGCATAATAAGTAGCTGAGTTATGGAAAATAATTTAAGTGACCTTCCATTGAAATTCTATTGATCCACGGACACAGGGAATGCTCCTCGTGACACTAACGGCGTGGTTGCCGGAGTTGCACCCTCCGCCATGTACACCTCAACAAGAAGCACTAAACCAATGTGTGAACCCCACCAAAACCCACATTGGTGTTCTGATAATGGGACTTCTCTTACTATCCATAGGCTCTTCTGGTGTAAGGCCTTGCAGTATCCCGTTCGGCGTCGACCAATTTGACGCCGGCACCGAAGAAGGAAGAAAAGGAATCAATAGCTACTTTAATTGGTACTACACTTCTTTCTCCATCGTCCTTTTGATCAACCAAACTGTGATTGTTTATGTCCAGGACAGTATCAGTTGGAAGATTGGCTTTGGGATTCCCACTGTGTGCATGTTCTTTTCCATCTTCATGTTCTTTGTGGGGACTAGGATTTACGTTTATGTGAAGCCAGAAGGGAGTATATTTTCTGATGTTGCTCAAGTTCTTGTCGCTGCTTATAGAAAGAGAAAAGTCGAGCTCCCTTCTGAGAAAGAGAAAATGCATGGGGCTTTTTATGATCCACCATTGGAGAAGACTAGTGTTTCCTCCAAGGTTCCTTTGACCTACACATTCAGGTCACAAAACAATAAGCAGTTGTTAATTACTCTAAACCTGGTTCTAATCAATTTTAATTAAATCATGCATTTTAGACAATTTTTTTTTCTATCATTAAAATTCTCAAAATATGAGAATAGTTTCCCAATCACACACTTATCTACTGCATTAATGTATAAAATTACATTAATTCTTTTTTAATATATACCCCTCTTTTTTTGAATTTTGTTTAATTGTCTATGAAATTGGTGACAATTTGAAGATTGACCAATTACATCCCAGTATTGATGTATCCTCATAAAACCGAGAAAAGATGGAAACATGAAAAGAAAACTTAGCTTGTTACACAATACAGCATATTGTTCTCCATTTTTGACAAAAATAATGATGTTGGGGAATAGGCTTTTCAGAGGTTACTAAGTCTTGCATATTATTTCCATATCTCGGTTGATTTTATCTTATCCATTATAGGGTGTTAAACAAAGCTGCTTTAATAATGGAAGACGAGCTAAACCCAGATGGAAGCAGAAGAAACAAATGGAGACTTGCTAGTATTAAGCAAGTAGAAGAAGTGAAATGCCTGGCTAGAACCTTTCCAATTTGGGTAACTGGAATCCTCTGCTTCATCCCCATTACACAGCAATCATCATTCACAGTCTTACAAGCTTCAATCATGGATAGACACCTAGGACCCAAGTTCCAAATCCCCGCAGGTTCAATCCAAGTAATGTCATTCCTCACTATATGCTTCTTTGTCCCTCTCTATGACCGATTCCTCGTACCAGCAATTAGAAAGATGACACATATTGGAGGTGGCATCACGTTGCTTCAGAGAATCGGAATCGGCATGTTCTTCTCTGTGCTGTCCATGGTCGTGTCTGGGTTAGTGGAAACAACTAGAAGGTCTTCGGCTAACTCGAACCAGAACATGTCGGTTTTTTGGCTAACCCCACAGTTTACTCTGTTGGGTCTGTGTGAGGCGATGAGTATTATCGGATTGATTGAGTTTTTCAATAAGCAGTTTCCAGAACACATGAAGAGCATTGCGAATTCTGTGGCGTTTTGTTCTCTTGGGCTTGCCAGTTATTTGAACAGCTTGCTGGTGACCATAGTTAGTTATGGAACTCGACATCGTACAGATTGGTTGGGGAAGGATTTGAACGTTGGGAGGTTGGATTTCTTTTACTATCTGGTTGCTGTGATTGGAGGTTTGAATCTGGTTTTATTTATCTGGGTTGCTAGTAGGTATGAGTACAAGGAAAGATTGAAAGTATACAATGACGATGATGTTGGTGTTGATGTTGATGCTGGATTTGATCTGGAGTTACACGGAAGGTTTGAAGTTTCAGCGTGATGATGATGATGATGATGATGTTTGTCTTGTGATCTCTGGAGTTAGATCTTTCAGAAATTTACTGAGTAATGTGAGAATGATATAATTAACTATATTAAATAAAATGGGACTCTGACATGAAAGAGACTCTTTAGGTGTGTTGTTGTGTTGTGGTTATTAATTACTTAATAGTTAGGTTGAAAGATTTCAAATCGTCCTTCAAAAATTTTGTCGCTAGCGTTTTATCTTCACGTCAGTTTATTAACGTCCAAATGTTAAAGTAGTGTAATAATCTCTTGATTTTAATTTGAGGATTTTTTTTGTTTTGTTTTTGAAAACTATGGTCTTTTCGATGAATGCATCAAATAATTAAATTCAACGCAAGCCTACACTATTTTCTTTTAACTGTAACATAAGCTATTCATAAATTATGAATAGTACAATATCATCTTTTTTAATTGATAGAGTAATAAATTGTAAATAACCAGATTACATAGATTAAGAAATTATTTGGTAAAGGCATCGATTAAAAGAAACTACAGATTTATTTAAGATCCTGAGGCGAGGCGCAGTGTAATGCAATGGAATATGAATTAAAATAACAGTGTTTGGTATGCTTTTTTAAGAGAAGTGCAATAAGTTAATCTTAATAATTATATAAAATTAATATATAATAGAAAGACCATGTTGTCCTCACTGTGCTCATTCTCCTCATGGTCCTCGTCTTTAAACTGTGTCGCTTACGTTTCCCTTATGGGGCTTGGTCCTCCGTCAAATCTATTGTGCAATACTAATGTGGCACGCCATGAGTGAAGATTTCGTCATTCAGAGCCCCAAGTTCCTAATGTTTATTAAATTAATGAGTATTGGAGTATTGAATTAAATCGATTTAGATATGCCTGGAACTTAATACCTGTCGCATAGGAACTGAAAAAATATAGGCCAAAATACAAATAAGCCCCCTCAATTTTAGCTCTATTGTATATAACTTCCCTCCCCTTTGAAAGTTTAAAAATCACACTCTCAGCTTTCATTGTTTGATATTTAACCCCTTACCGTTAAAAAGATCGTTAAATCTAACAGAATAGATGCCACATAAGATTATTAAAAACTATTTGGTAGATGACATGTAATTTTATTATTTTATTAATGTATCCTAATTTTAAACTCATAATTAAACTAAAGGGTATTTTTGTAACTCTACTAATAATTAATCATAATTCTAGTCTCGCCTAATCATTTTGCTCTTTTGGCCTCTCCCACCACGTCTTGGTTTAACGGGCTAGCAAGGTTCTGAAGTTCGAAGATATGAAAGAAAACTCAATTGACAATTGACTAATCCTACACATCGCCTTATTCATTTTCATTCCCTCAAGAGAGCAAATTGAAGACTCTAATGAAAAATAAATCTCGAGTACCAAAATGCAGCTTCTGGGATATGGAAGAAAAGTTAAATGAGCAAGGGCATTAGGTGATGGATTTCTCACATGAAATTAAAGAATCTAGATTGATAGCAACAGACCCTAAACAAGCAAGCTTGATGATGTATATTTTCTACAAAATAACAAAAAGATGAATAAAAACATTGCAAAATGGAGGACTTGCTAGACAGGGGAGGTTGAAAGAACCACATGATTAGGTGAGATCGGGATTAGGGTTATTATTGGTAGAATCACAAAATACTCCTTGATGTAATTATGAGTTTTAAATTAGGATAAATTAATAAAATAATAAAAATTACATGTCATCAATCAAATGGCTCTTAATAATCTGATGTGGCATCCATTTTGTTAGATTTAACGGTTCTTTTAATGGTAAAGGGTTAAATATCAAATAATGAAAGTTGGGGGTCTAATTTTTAAACTTTTAAAGGTGAGGGAGATTATATGTAAGAGAGCTAAAGTTGAGGGAAGTTATTTGTATTTTGGCCAAAAATATATTTGCAGAAAGTTTAGATTGTTGCATGACATTGTTTTTTAAAGGGAAAATTCCAAAACATGACTGTTGAATTTCAAAATTCCACATCATGAATTACTATAAAAATTTATTGTCATTTGCTTTTTAAGTGTAGTTATTGTCTTTACAAGTGTAGCAACCAATACTAATTTGAAATTTTAAAATTCAACAGTCTTTTTTTTTGTTGAAATTTTTCCTTTTTAATCCAAATTTGCTAACATTCACCTAGAGAAATTCAATCATAATTGTGCTTGATTTAGAGAGTGGGGTTTAGATTCTTGATTTAGGAGGTAGGTTCCATTAGACACTGCTGAATTATACAAAATATGCTCTCTTAGTAGCGGTACTTTTATGGGAACAATATTCAAGTAAGGAATTGGAGAGACTTAGACCTAGCGTGCAAAGGGACAACCAGGGATTAGGAGGACACTTCACCAGATGAAGTTACAACTAGTGGTGAGGGATTTTGTGGATAAATGAGATTTATTTTTGAAGAGCAAATATTGTCTTTTCATGTAAGTTATTGAGGAAAATTCTATAAAGAATTACAAGTCTACAATGAGCATTCATACCCCATAAATAGATATTACCAAAATCAGTACTACAAAAAGGTCCATTTTTCCCCCCTAGTTTCATCTAAAATTGAAAACAGAGAGAAAAAGGGTGATACATTGGTTTGGTTACACCAAACAGAAGAGTATAGGGCCCCATACTCATCTGTTGGGCCATAATAGATGAGTATAGGTCAAGAGACAAGTATATGGGCCATATACTCATCTGGTTAGGTGACCAGACGAGTATATTGGGCCCATACTCATATGGTCCAGTGAACCAGACGAGTATGGAGCCCTATTTAAAAAATTTTGAAGCCCCCCAATTTAGCACTTATCGGTTCCATTTCCTTCCAACTCGTGGTTAATGCTCCCCCCATTTCCAGCTTGCAGTCAATGTTCCCCCTTCCCCATTTCTAGCTCATGGTTGACGCTCCTCCCTCCCTTATTTCCAGCTCGTGATCAATGCTCCCCCCTATTTCACATGTTCGCTTTGTTCCAGCTTGCTCGCTCGCCATTTTCTTCCCCTCTTTCTCCTTCCTAGCTCACCTTTTCTTCTATCTAGCTTGCTGTTGCCATTTTCTCCCTTTCTTTCTCCTTCCTTGCTCACATTTTCTTCCTTTTTCTCTTCCTAGATCAGCTTGCCGTGGGTTAGGACTGTGCAAAAACCCGGTGGTCCGGTATGGTCCGGTCCAACCCGAGCAAACCCGATCCAGTCCGGTCCAGAAAAAATTGGCCCGAAACAAGATTGGACCAGATTGGACCGGACTGGTCTCATCGGGCTGGACTGGACTAGGGACTGGCCCCTCAGACCAATTGGTCTAGTCCAGTCTAGCCCGGTTTTTTTAAATTATTATTTATATAATTTTAATTTGATTGAATTTTTCTATATAAATTTTTTATCTATTCAAATAATCAAGATTTATCTATTAACTTTCTAAGTAATAAGCATGCATATATATTTTCTACAATTTAATATCTATATTGATGAGGATTAATTAATAAAACATGACTTCATTGGGAAATTGAAAAGGAATGATCAAATTTGATAAACTTTGGATTAAAATATGTGCAAAACTTTATATAGTAAGTTACAATCTTGCCTCCTATTGAAGAATTTTTTTTTAAAAAAAATTTAAGTCTGGACTGCCTGGACTGGTCTAGGCAGTCCAGAGGACCAAGTCTAGTCTAACCCGACCTTGGGTTGGCACTGGATTGGACCAGACCTCGGGCTGTCTTTTTCAGCTCGAGGTCTTTACTGGACCAGACTTCGGGTTGATAACAAACCTAGTCCAGTCTGGTCCATGCACACCCCTACCGTGGGTGTTCTAGATCGTCACCGCAAATCAGCTCATTGTGGGGTCTTGTGTTGGGTGTCTCGCTATAGGTCTCATTGTGGATGACTCGTCTATAGCTCACCGTGTTGTGTGTCCACTATCAGCTTCATTTTCACTCTTCACTTCATAGGTTAGTGGCTAGATATCTTTTTTGGGTTGACGGATTGATGATATATAGCTTGTGTTGCTGCAGTTGAACCTATTAGAATTAGGAGTTTTGTGATTTTATTGCAATTTAGATGTTTGATGAAATGCCTCTATGTATCAGCAATGGAATAGAATTGAGTTTTGTGATCTTATTGTTATTTGTTTTTTTTTTAAAATTATCATAGCCATGAATTATGAAGAAGGAGTGGTTTTAAAGATTTTATTGTTGTACTTTATGTGTTTGATGAAATACCTGTGTATGAGCTATATGAATTTGAGCTAGAAACAATAATGGTTAGATTAAATAAATTAGTGAGTTTAAATAGAAATAAATATGTTTTATTTATTATGAAAAAAATATTTTGGATGATAAATTTTATTTCTTGGAAGTGAATAAAATTTGCCCATGGTGTCATGCAAAATTTCATTAACACCAAGTTGTTCATCTTTAGATAAATCATGCAAGAATTACCATTATCAATATTAATATATAATAATTAAAGTTTATGTTAAAATACTAACTATGTAATTAATTAATTTTATTTCTTTGTTTATAAAAAAATGTCAAATTGCAATAACCTATAAAAATATATTTAAATTATTAACTTCTTATACTTTTATTTAAGTTGAATAATGAAGTACAATTCTAATGTTTGAGATCAAGTTATAAGATATCAACTTAATTAATATTAGATAATCTTTCATTTCTTGTAAAAAGTTTTAATTTATGTTCCTTATTTCGAAATTTTCTAAATTGCTTAATTTGCTAGATTAAATTGTTGAAATTAGTTTTGAGTTGCTTTAATTTTCTTGGAATTGATCTGAATGGAATTAAAGTATTGTTGATTGTGGTCTTGAATTAAATTATTTAGAATTACTTATATATTAATAGAATAGATTGTAATTGGATGAGTGCCGTGAGAACAAGTAAGGAGTATGAGAATGGGGTAAAGGAATTTATTGAATTTACTAAAAGGAATACTTATGACAAAAGTGGAAAGTATTATTGCCCCTATGTTAATTGTTTAAA